GGGATGAAGGAGTGAGAAGAAGCAAGGGAACAAGGACAGGAGGACATCAAGGGACAGTCACCCAGCCAGCAACAGAGTAAGAAGTAAAGAAAGACACATAGAATAGGGACAGTTAAAAGCCCAGAAGCAAAAGGTAGATGAGATCATTTAAGTTAAGAAAGCTGGCTAGAAACAAGCCAAGCTAAGGCTGGGCATTCATAAGAAAGAATAAGTCTCCCTGTATGTATTTGGGAGCTGGGTGGCAGGCTCCCGAAGAGAAAAAGTGAAAAAAAAAAAAAAAAAAGAACAAGGTAGAATGTGATTGAGGAATACATCTTATGTCTGGCCTGTACACACACACACACACACACACACACACACACACACACACACACACAAGCATGTGTGAATGCATATACACACACATACATACACATATACTACATGCATACAAAACCATAAGAGAAAATACAGTTAAATTAAGCCAGCAATGAAAACCTACAGTCTATCCTTACAGTAGGTGGTGGTGTAGAATGCTACTAAATTGAAGTACTGAGAAACATACCTAATAGGGTAATGTCAATGTGAGATGTAAACCAGGCATGGTAATCCAGGCCTGTAATCCCAGCACTCAAGTGGCTGAAGCAAGATCACTGTGAATTTGAGGCCATCTTGAGCTACACAGGGAATTCCAGTCTAACCTGGGCTAAAGAGTGAGATTGTCTCAAGAAAAGGGTTAATCACTTTTGAATCTATATAAATGCTATGAGTATTAAATAACTGGTTAAATTCTATTTTCTTTTTGTTGTTGTTGTTGTTGTTTGTTTGTTTGTTTGTTTTTGTTTTTGTTTTTTTTTCGAGACAGGGTTTCTCTGTGTAGTTTTGGTGACTGTCCTGGATCTTGCTCTGTAGACCAGGCTGGCCTCGAACTCACCGAGATCTGCCTGGCTCTGCCTCCTGAGTGCTGGGATTAAAGATGTGTGCCACCACCGCATGGCTAAATTCTATTTTCTTTAGGTGGTTGATTGTATGAAATTATAATTTTAGTAGTCCATAGTAAAGCTACATCTATATCTTGACTTCAAGTCTCTACTTAATCTTATTGTTCTAGTGCTATTTTGAGTCAGTCAGTAGGAACTATTTTACAGGATCTGGTACATGGAATTTTCCCCAGTTCCTATCCTTACCCTTGAGGAAGCCAGGTCATATGGTGTCCTTTTCCCTGGATGCGCTGGAGATACACAATTGAAATCGTATAGAAAGATCAGAAGCAATCCCTGCTCCTACGTGTGCTATCCTTCCAGAGGAAATCGTCATACGTTGTGGCGGGGGCAAGTGAACTTCCTCTGTTTTTTAAGTAGAGAAATAAAGAGGGTATAAGATACTAAATTAAGCTTCTGATTAGGAGGTTGAACTATGCCCCTGGGCACCTCTAGAAGGAGATTGGATGAGAGAGAAGCAAACACTGAGATTCTAAGGAAAGAATTATAGCCCCAAACCTCAAGGTTCTGCTAAACAGAACTGGACTTAATACTTATTTGTTTCCACATCCACCTTCAATTCAGCTAGCACTGTGATGATGATCTTGTAGTGTGCATTCATTAAATATAGGAAGGCATAAATGTGGCTCGAGAATGATCTTTAGCAGGAAGAGTCCCTAAAGATTTGAAGAAAACAATCTCCAGGTCTCAAAAGCATGCCAGGGTGGTGGAACAGGCATGGGAGTGCATGCCTTTAATCTCAGAACTTGCGAGGCAAAGGCAAGTGGATCTCTATGAGTTCAAGGCCAGTCTGATCTACATAGTGAGTTCCAGGACAGCCAGAGCAGTGTAGAGAGACCCCGTCTCAAAAAAACAGGAAAGGAAGAAAGGATGGGACTCATGAGCTGTCTCTGTATCACGGTTCATTTGGCAAGTCCTGTTCCTCGCATAACCTAAGGGAAGTGCTGTAGACACACAATTAAAAACACACAGCCAGATCCAGAAAGGATCTCATTATGTCTAGTAAAGAAGAATGTGCCTATAAAGTGTTTATACCCCTCAAAATTTGCACAAAATAACATATCGCTTGTGTTCTCAGAATCCCTCATGATGTAGCAATCACAGCTTCTAACATCTACTTTCCTGAATCACTGGGCTCAGCTTCAACCTCAGAGCTGTGAATGTTCACAGAAACTTTCCTTTGCACTCCTAGGGACACATCCAGACACAGAGGTAGCAGTTGATGATACTATTACAAATACTGGTACTCTTGTACAAACACTGAGACTCTTATCACCACCATGTCCATGGCCACTAACTAAAGTGACACCATCCAATAGTGAATTGGGTTGACGTCCCTTTCTTTCCTTCCTTGGGTAGCAAGGAGAGGATGAGGAGAAGGGGCATAGACATTTCTATTTAGTTATTTGCATATCAATAGTCCATTTGCATACTATTATAAATATATTGGAGAGACAGAATTGAGGGAGGACTTCTAGGGACCAGAAAGGTTGTAGGTCTTAGAAATTGTATCAGGGACTCAGCATCTGTAGAGACGTGTCTCTCATTTCAACTTTCACGTTCGCCTACTTTCACTTGGCTTCATTGCCTTCTGGAACAGACGGGCTTTTCCCGTCTGTGAGAAAGCTTGATCTCATAGCATTCTAGAAGGTTCTAGCAGCTTCTAGGAGACATCCTGTTTCTAGCTTCATTCTGAAAAATTTCCAGGGAATTCTCTGAGTGACTTGCTATCACTTAACCCACAGACCAATTGAGAGGATGGTTTACTGTGATTGGCCCAGCCTACACTTCACCTCAATCCTCAGGCCCAGGGATTTGGTTACTGTGATTGACAGCTCCATACAAAACCAGATAGGGTGCAGAGGAGAGATGATGCCCTTCTGAAGGAAAGCGCTGATGTTACCAAAGAAAAATGTGGCCAGTGTCTAACAAAGAAAGACTGAAGACAGACAGACAGACACACAGACAGTAGACTGGCTAATTGGATGATAAAGAAATGTGTCTGTACTTTTACTCATTCTAATATTTGTTTTCATTATCTTTTCTTTTCTATTCTTTCTTGTTAATATTTTAGTCTTATACCAAAACATAAAACCTGCTGGCATCTTAATTTGAATTTATGATACTCCAGATGAATTTGAAAAGAATAACATTTGTACAGTATCGGGCTTCTAAGTACAGAATACAGTTTTTCCAGCTTCAAACTTTGTATCATTTTTTTTTTTAAGTTTTGGTAGATCTTTTATGGAATATCGGTGAGAATTTTTTTTAAAGTAACAGTGTGTACTACTAACAGAGCAGTCTTTGATTAGGAAAACATCTTTTTTTTTTTTTTTTTTTTTTGGTTTTTCGAGACAGGGTTTCTCTGTGTAGAGGAAAACTTGAGGTAGAAGCAGAGTCACGACCAACTGATGTTCGGTTTGCGCATTGTACGACTCTGGGACCATTCCCTCCACAGACTCCAGGGTCAGCGGGGAGCTATGCTGAAGCCACTCAGGAAGAGGTGAGGCTGTCCACTAGAGGCAAAGCAAAGGTGGAGGGAGGCTAAGCTGCTGAAGAAACCATCAGGAAAGCTTGATTTATCCCTTGCGAGAGAAAAGAGGAGGTGTCCGACGCATAGCTCGTGTGGTGTGTGAATGGCGTGTGTGTGAAGCAGCCAGAGAGAAAACCTTGTTGGGGATGGACAGGTGACATCCCATGACAGAATGTTTTCCAAACAAGTGTAAGCTCTCTGCCATGAGAGAGAGAAGCTCCTATTGCCAGTGACGTTTCTGCTGCTAGACAGTCTTTCTGTGTAAGTTCAGTTTGGAACAGTGGAGGGAACGAAGCCTGGGCGGAAGTTTGGATTGTGTTAACGTCAGAGAAAAAAAGATCAGAGACACACATTCAGAGAATGCAGAATTCAAGGAGTAGAGATAGGAAGTGGAGCCCCTCACATCTGAAGCTCGGGATTCCAGACTGGAGGGTACCCTGCTGAATATACAACCTGAATTCATAATGACACCTATATACTCCCAGAACATTCTGTAAATTACCCTGTGGGTTTTTCTTGCCCTTAAAATAGGTCCTTTTTCATTCCTTCCTGACCACCTACCTTTTATGTAAGATCACTTCCTTTTACAATGAAGAATCTCTTGGGCCATTTCTTGTACTTTAGCTGCCAACAAATTGTCTTACCACTTACCTATTTGAAATTGTCTTTATTCTGTATTGCTTTGTGAAGAATCCTTCTGGAGCACTCTACCGTGGATACTTTTATTCCCACCACCCCATGTAAAAATGATGTAGTTTGGCTGTAACAGGGACATGCATGATATTTCTTTCTTTCTTTCTTTCTTTCTTTCTTTCTTTCTTTCTTTCTTTCTTTCTTTCTTTCTTTCTTTCTTTCTTTCTTTCTTTCTTTCTTTTTC